AATTTCTTAGCATATGTGAAACTTTGGCTTTGGATATCCGGGACAGATGAGACTCCAGTGATTCTGATAAAAATCTCATGCACAGAAAACATTTAAAGAGAAATGAAGATTACTAAGCTTTTACTGCCTGATCTGTATACACAAAATGTTCCCTACTCTGGTTGAACACGTCTACCGTCACTATTGAAAATGTATAGTGTTATAGCTTAGGGTTATGTTCAGATATCCATTATAGCTCCCAGTTTTCACATGCTCATAACTTTCTGAAAAATTCTTCTTTTCAGCTGAAATTTTCCATGCTTGGTCTCAGCTCAAAGATGGATTTCTTTAGACAGTTCAGAGAAATCTCTTAACCTATTTTTCAGTTAGTCAACAATAGAAAAAATACACTGTACATGATCACCATTTCTAATATTTTAGTATACATATACAAATATACAGAACTTGAAAACAATTGAATTTTACATGCAGACACTTTTCCAGATGACTAGTCCTCACTCAAGACTAATATCCATGCTAACACATAAACCAAACTAAGCATACAAAAGAATGTCTGTGTCTTTTTTATTTATACTAAGTGATGAAACAAGGCCACTAAAAATAATACAGCACGCAGAATTGTGGAATGCTATGGTTACAGAATTTTAATATTTGCAGGTGACGTAAGCTCTGCACTGCTGTTCCAATGCAGATTGCCATCAACTTATGCACCTTGAAATTGCCACTCTCAGCGTATCAAATTAAGAGTCATTGATGTTTTCAGCTTTTCTTTTCTCTTACATTAAAACTCCAAACTTACAAATTTAAACACTCCAAAGTAAGATAACATCAATTAGATTTGCCACATAAAGCCTAAGTGATGTGCATTGATCAACAGGAGCCTGGCTACTTGTTCCTTGATCAGGCAAGAAGTCCATTGGCTAAAAAAGGAATAAAGCAATCTCTACAGAGCTTATGTTATCAAGTATAAGATTAAAAATATACTTTAGTATGGAATGTAGTTAATGTGTCATTCGAGCCACAAATCCCTAATTTCTGCCACTAGAGCACAGAAATACAAGGACTGTGTTAACATATATTCAACTTTCCTGAATCTTCTAGAAGTGTGCACATTTCCAAAATTTCTAAATTATCACTTTGATTCAGAAAAGTGCTTATAGTGTGCTTATGACTTTTTCTTGAAGACAACATCTTAAGTCACTTGGACTTTAAGGATCTGCTTCAGTTTTACACATTAAATGAAAGTTAAGCACATGCCTAAATGCATTTTGATTAGGAAAGAAGACTGAAGGTTTTGCCCATAACCTATACTGATACATATTTTTAAACCTGTGTTATTTGTCACTGCTGTGCTTTAAATCTGATTAAATGAAGTTGTTATAATTTAAAATTGGGATAACCACAGTAAATTTGCCTGAATGTCTTTTATTATTTAATCTATTGTTAATCTAATGACATTGAGTAGGAGCTTTTGTCTGTTTATTTGCTTTTCAAACGAGGTCTTTCACACAGAAGAATACAACATGTAGTCTTCTGCTGTATTTCTATGTAGCTGTTTGGTGTAATGACTTACTAATTTGAAGCGCATTTTAAAGTTCAATCAAATACTGAAAAGAACACTGATTGAGAAGCCTGCATAGATTTCAGTATTCTTTATGAGTCATAACACTGATTTTGGAAGCTTAGCTATATAAGCTGGTGGTATGCAACATCCTTTCCATACTCCTAATTATGTGAATTAGCATTTAGAACAATCCCAAGTTCAAGTATTCAAAAATGCTCTTTTCAGAGCATCCACCAGGTTTACTGCAAGATAGGCACTTGAAGAAGGCTTTGGTTTTCATACTGGGTACTTGTGAAACATCAGTCTGTACAATTCAAAGTCACATGTAAAAACCTAACCACAGAATTTCCACTAAATTAATTGATGATTGCACAGAAATTGCGCACCAAAAAAAAAAACCAAAACCCCACAACACCCCCCCCCCAAAAAAACCTAAGAATTTTTTATTTAACAATATATTTTAAATTCTAAATGCTTTTTGATTTAAGACCCAGTTCTAAGAGATTTCTAGGGCCACGTGCCCAACAAAAGCATTGGAATTTTGCTTGAATGAAGTCCAAGCGCTGACTTATGTCTCAGCTCTTTGCTAATATAAATGTATCTGCAAGACACACTGTGTGTGTGTGTTTACCTTGAACTAAAAGAAATTGTAAGTAAAGGTGGAGGATGCTAGTATTTCTTAGACATATATTTATCCTATATTTCATCTTTCCTTATCTTAACATCATCCACAACAATTCCCATGCATTTTACAAAACCCACCAAGTTACTGAATATACATAAGTAACCTAACTCAACATTAGATGCAGAGAAATTAGTTATGTTAAACCTGAAGAAAACAGTATAATGCCACAGAACTAAGTATCTCTTCCTAAAGGAATTTATAAAAATTGTTTTCAGATGCTGTGGCATTAGCACACACCACTGTTCAGTAAGATCTTTAAATCTGAATACTTTGCTTAAAGGCCATACTCTATCACCATTTTTTTAAAGACCTATGATGGTGTATTTGACTGCTGTGCAAGTGAATATTAGCTAAGATGCACCCTAATTTTAGGAATTACAAACAAAAGAATAGGAAGATTGTTGATGATTACTACCATTGATGGTTATACTACTCCTGCCAAAATTGAAAAGGAAGCCTAAAAAGATTACATCCTGTAGCAGTCATCATTGGGAGAAAAAAACCAAAAAGACACTATATCATTCCCCACAGAATAAAAATCTACAAACTCAGATTAGGTAACTGTCTACCTAAGAAAGAGTTGTATTTTCATTTACATATAATAATACAGCTTTTTCAGGAAGCAATCCAAATTATGAGTATCTACTGACTTCAAAAAGGAAACACTAAGACCTCAGTGAAATTTGAATCAAGTCCATATATAGTTATAATTACAGATATTATTAAATGGAGACTAGGATATTTAGTGTAATTAACACAGGTAACTCTGGAAATACTGCTAGTTGTTTTTGTATGGCTGTGGGAGTTTTATTCTCCTCATGTTCAATTTTGCCATGCAGAGCTTACACATTCTGTCAGATAAAAAATTCTGGGTGTCCCAACTGCCTCTAGATACTGTGGGGAGCTAAGTCTGAGCTTTCTGATAGAATTTGGAAATTGATGCCGAAATTAAAATAATCTCAGAACAGAAAAGGAATGTGTGGTTTAGAGGGATAACATTTTGCAACTAAAACTGAGGAGAAAACTTCAGACAAGTAAGCACAGATTTTGCAGAGCTCTTCTATAATTTTTGGGGGTTCTTTTTGATAGCTTATTTTAACTTACACTGACAATGTGTGTACAGTGCTGTGAGAAGGCTTAGGGAGTAGACCCTTCTTAAAAGTCCCTCAGAGAGGTTAGGGGTTTGTGAGATTCTCCTGTGGTGTTTTCAGTGTCTCATAAAGAAGGAGCTGTGTCAGAGCAGTTACTTTAGCAGAGCTGCCTCCAAAGCGCTCGTTTTATTCTTAGCACCTGGTCGGCGTGACCCCTCACAGAGGCGCAGAGTCAAGACGCGCTTCTGGGAACGTTCACCACAGCTAAGGCTAACGCAACAACAACTGGATGATTTTGCCCTAAACTTGGCTACCGCCAAAACCCTTCCGCAAGGACGAGCCTAAATGTGCCTCGCTGGGCTCCCTGGGACCCGCATCCCTGACTAACTCGGACAAACCACCGTCACTCAGGGAGGGCTGCGAGGAGCAAGGACGCGACTCCCGGCACGGAAGGCGCCGGCGGGGCCCCGCGCGCTCCCGGTCCCCGCGCGCTCCCGGCCACCGCGCGCTCCCGGCCCCCGCAGCCTCCGCAGGGCTGGCGCGAGGCCAGCGCGCGCCGCGCGGTGCCTTGGCGCCACCTACGGGCCGCGCGCGCTCCCGCGGCGCCCGCAAGAAGAGCGCCGGTAAAAGGAATTAAGACAGCACCGCGTTTAAATCTTTATTAGCGAGGAGTTATTAGACCTAAGTAGAAAAAAAAACAAAAAAAACCCAAAAAGCACACCTAATGCTGGATTTGGCTCAAATATGAGTCTCTCAGCTTCCTAATCCCTCTTCATATGGCGTGTTCCACAGTTTAAAATGAGATATGTCAGATCACTTATGCATTACTAAGATGAGAGAATATTTACAATGGACTGACTTTTTTTTCTTTTTCCTGCATAATTCAGATGTATTCAGAGAACGCATTCCTTTCAAAAGTATGCTTTGGCAATTTTTTTTTAAATATGCAGCAAACTATGCGATACCAACTTTCATCTATTACAACAAAATCATGTTGAACTCAAACAAGAGGAAGACTTACGTATGGCTTAGTTATATCCTACCAATAAACCACGTGCTTCACTGATGAGTAGCTTGGAAATTTGGCTGTCTTTGTTAGGAAAAAAAAATTAACCCTTTTAGTAACACTAATTTAGCAAGGTTCCAAATCAGCTCGAACAGCAAAAGAAATTCAAGCCAACTCACTTTGAAATTTGAAACAATGTACATATCCCTTCAACCTTGAAACAGTCAAATTTCTGACTGAAATTTAGCACATACGGAAACAGTTCTTCAATAAGTTTTACAATTGGACAGTTAAATACTGGGGAGAAAAAAAAAATCTTTTTTTTCAGTTTTGCTCATGCACATGTACGTGCACATGCATAGTCCTCTAACAACGAAAATTCTTCAAAACCCAAAGTATCAGAGGCATTTTGCAAACACATGTTTAAGCCCCAGGTAAATTATAAAAAGGTTGTTTTTCTTTATTTGTTCTTGTTTTTGGTGTTTGGTTTAGGGTTTTTTTTGTTCCCCCCATAATGTTAACTAAATTAAATTAGCATGAAACAAACAAAAAAAAAAAAAAAAAACCAAACCCCACAACACAGTGGCACTTTTAATACTGGTTGATCGGGCACTTGTATGCAGTACTTATAGACCAGTAAAAGTGCTCGTTTACCTGTCTGGTGTGTAAGGGGCCCTTTGTCTTGAAGCCTCCTTGGGAACTGCACTCTGAGGCACTGAAGTGATCTGAACTAGTGGAAGAGCGTTTGGAAAGGGTGTCACAACCACCAACAAAGGTGTTGTCCAACGGGAGTTCCTGAATCACATGGTGCTTTTTCACTGAAACTGGAGTGTCAGGTTTGAGATGAAAAGCAGACTGCGGAGAGGCAGACTTGTAATGCTTGGCAAGATCAGGACTGTTAGGCTTAAAGGTTGATGGTGGTGCTGTGCCCCAATCAAATCTTCCTATACTTTGCTCCTCCAGCTCTGCTGGAAGGCTTATTGTCCCGTTGATAGGTTCATGAACTGCATCATCAGGTTTGGACTCCTCAATGGTCACAAAGTTCAAAAGAGAGCTCTTTGGAGATTTCCTTTTCTTCCTTTTCTTTTTCTTGTTTTGCTTGTTTTCCTGATTGGGAGACATCCACTCAGCACCTTGCTTGCTCCTCTGGGCAGCTTTGAATCTGGATGCATGTCGACAGCGAACAAGAACCGTGACAAATATCACCACTATGACAACCATGGCACCCGCCACGATAGCGATCATGATTGTGAGATAGTCCTCATTTTGGTAGGGTTGGCTACTGTCCCCTATGTTCCGATCCAAAGGGGTTTCCATAGTCCTGCGTATCAAGTCATAAATGTAAGAGGCATTTCCAGCAGTATCATTTACATATAAAAATACAAGCACAAGAGTATGCAGGGATTTGGGATAACCCAAATCACTTATGTTGACAACTAAGCGATGCAGGCCCACGTCATTAGGAGTTGGTTTCTCTTCCAGAGTTATATTACCTGTCACTGGATCAATCCGAAACAAACCCTTGTTATTGCCGCTTACAATCGTGTACTTCAGCTCAGCGTTCATGCCAGTGTCTATATCCACAGCAAAGACTTCGGCTACCACCGATCCTGGAATTGCTGAGAGTGGCACCAGCTTAAAAGAAGTATTAGAAGGTGGGTAGATGACAACAGGACTGTTATCATTAACATCCATCACGTTTATTGTTACTTTTGCTGTAGAAGAGCGAGGAGGTTGCCCTCCATCCACTGCCTTAACATCAAAAGTGTAAGAGCTCTGCTGTTCTCGATCAAAAGAAACGTTGGACTTTATAACTCCAGAGTACGGATCCAGCACAAAGTTTTCATTGTCATTCAGGATGGAAAGGGTCACTGCTTTATTTTCCCCAGCATCTGCATCAGTCACTGTAATCACCCCCACCGTGCTATACTTTGGTAAGTTCTCTGATACGAAAAACTGGAAATGATTATGAGTAAATTTGGGACTGTTGTCATTTTCATCCAACACAGTAACAATTACAGCCGCCTGACTCTGCAAAGGAGGGGTGCCGTTATCTCGGGCTGTAACAGTGAAAATGAAACGTTCCTGCTCTTCTCTGTCAAAAACTCTGGAGGCTGTCAAAACTCCTGTCTTTCGATCCAGATCGAAAAAGGAGGCATTAGGACCAAGCTGATAAACAATGTCTGCATTTTTCCCACTGTCTTCATCTGTGGCACTAATAGTTGTTAAGTATAGACCACGCCGGTTGTTTTCAGAAACTGACAGCTCAATTACAGGCTGGCTGAAAATCGGAGGGTTGTCATTTTCATCCTCCAGCTTAACTCTTACCAGGGCAGTCTGGTTCAAGCTGGGCTTGCCAGAATCAGAAGCCACAATTTTAAAGCTGAATTCTTTGGTGCCCTCATAGTCCAACAAGGAAGAGGTCTCTAACAAATACTGGTTGTCGTAAACTGCTTTCAAGTGGAAGGGGACCTCTCTCTCAATGAAACAGATCACTTTGCCATTCACATCAGTGTCCTTATCTGAAACCGTAATTAGGGCAATCTTTGTATTGATGGGATCTTTCTCAGATAAGTACACTGTGCCATTGATGGGACTTATTATGTACCTGAGGTCTATGTTAGGAGGATTATCATTTACATCAGTGACATTGATGGTGACAGTTGCCCGGGCTGGTGTAGAGCTACCATCACTAGCCAGCACTGTCACTTTGTGAATAGCAGTCTCTTCTCGATCTAAGGACCTCTGAACTGTAATCAGCCCTGTGGTGTTGTTTAAAGCAAAAAATCTTTTGGTTGCAGGGGCGACTTGGGCACCAAAAATATATCTGATTTCTGCATTGCTTCCTATATCAGCATCTGTAGCATGAAGCTGAATTACAGAGGTGCCTACAGGGGCATTCTCTGGTATATGGACCTCTACTTGACTCTCTTTAAAGACTGGCCTGTTATCATTGACATCACTTACTGTAACTTGCAGGATAGCTGTGCTGGATTTCTGGGGGGTACCTCCATCCTCCACTTTGATTTTCATCACGTAGGTGTCCTTTTGCTCTCTGTCCAAGTTCTGCTGCACAATCAGCTGAGGCCATTTCTCCCCTTCTGGAGTTTCTACAATATCCAGTCCAAAGACACTCTGTCCATTTAACAACTCATAGTGCTGCACACCATTGAAACCTGTGTCAGGATCTGTTGCTGATGGGATTGGAAAGCGACTGTTGATCAGAGTGTTTTCTGGGATGGAGATATTGATGACAGGGGATGGAAACATAGGCGCATTGTCATTAGTATCCTTTACAATGATTTTTATTTTGATCAGCCTAAAAAAGTCATTGGGGAGAATCACCACTTCAAGTTCAAAGAAACACTCATTTTCTTCTGCATAGGAAGCTCCAGCACATAGTTTTTCTCTGTCTATTCTGTTAGATGTTGTAAAGATTTCCCCCGTGTTACTGGACACTTTGACCAGAGGTGCATCCCCTGCTTTAGACACCAGTCTGTAGACAAGGCTGGCACTGGTCCCTGTGGCAGCATTGATATGAGAAATGTTCAGATCCTTTGGTATGTTCCCTATGGGCACGTTTTCAGGCAGCTCCTCTCTAATAGTGTAAATAAGTTCTTGAGCTATAGCAGAATCCAGCCTTAAACAGGCAATCAAAGCGGCCAACAGGTAAAAATCCCTCAGGTTCATGATAATGTTTTTATTCTCTTTCCACGGATTTTAGGACTTAAAGGTTTCCAGAGAGGAATGATGCGCGATTTGCAAGAGGAGGCATGCATGGACTGCAGGATGCATTACATCTCATTTCTTATTTGGAGACATCACTGTCAACACAACCACACAGAACAGCATTATTGTTTTTTTAGGCATGATAAATCCACAATCTCCAACTACTACTTGATTTTGCAATGCATGCTTCCAGCAGTACATTTTCCTACTGCTCCCTTTTACAAGCAAGCCCTCCGGACAAATGCACCAATATCCCATTGGCTGCATTTGCTCAGAGCATGAATGAAAATAACTACTTGCAGGATTAAGGGCAGCTACTGTTTCCACACGTACTTTCTGAATAATTTCTTGGTACACCGTGTAATCCCTAAAGTGCATTCCCCCTCTACCCTCCTCCACCCAGTCATTGGTACAAGTAAAAAACCTTCCCGGACTACTTCTAGATTCGAACTGCTATGCCAGCTGCCAAATGTAATTTGCTGTTTGCTTCCATATGTATTTTTTAGCTCTTGCTAACCAGATTCTTCTCTGCTCGCTGTGCCTTGCATGCCCCTCTATAGCTATCGCACTGGGAAATAACCACCCGGACATGCTGCTGCTGCAGCAGTCGTCACTGGCTACTTCACATCCCTGTTAACTGATGAGACAATAACAGGACTTACAGTTTCTTACACTCTCAGCTCAATGTTTCTTCTCCAGATGTTGGATACTTCTCCTTCTGTTTAATAACCTAAAACTTTATTTTTTTTTTTAAACACAGTCTAAATCAGGAGGCTGGAAATTCCAAATGTAACTTAGAAGCAGGAAGCATGTTTACAGATGGGGGGAATATACATTTTCTGATGACATGAGGAGGAAAAAAGGTGCAGCCTTTCCCCACTGACACTGGTCTCCCTTCAGGATGATATTAGCAGCTGCCACATATAAATACTGCAGACTAATAATGCAGGTGGAAGGAAAAAAAAAAAAGGGAAAGCGACTGACAGACTTCTGTTTGCATGCACTGCTAACCGCACATTATAGGGGTGCAAGGCTGCCAGCACCTACAGTTTGACGGAACTAGGCAGCCCCGAGCACTAATCTTATCTGCATTAAGCTTCACGGTAACTGATGCCTGTGATTACTTCCAGCACAGTAATGCAGGTAGGGATGCAGACACAGCGAGTAGGTGAGCCTTTCCCACCAACACCAACAGAATCCCAAACACTGATTCTTTCCCTAGATAAATATACTGCGTGCTGGCTTTTTTTTTTTTTTTTTTTTTTTTTTTTTTCTTTAAAGGAAATGCATCCCTGCTTAAGGGTAACTTTGCACTTACGTTAGTTGTCTACCTTTGACGATCTGCTGCAGCTAAGCAATGATCTGTTCCAGCAGATACAGCACAATGCATCTGGTAAACCAGTTTTGGAGAAATCAGCAGCAGCCAAACGCTTCCTCCTTGAGATATGTGTTGCTTCGGGGTGGCAAATTATCAACTCCAGGGAACAAATTCACAGTTCTGTCGTTAGTCATCCTCTCCACGTTTCATTCCTGTGAAGCGGTGATCCTTTGGGTGCCTAACGTGCACGCAACAACCCAAACAAACAGCAAGAGAAAAATCCGGTGCACTTCTGAGAGCGGGGGTATTTTCCACTCTGCACTGCACACCATTCCCGTCCCTCTCTCTCGGCAGAGCAGAGGCAGCTACATGAAGTCTGCAACTTCTGACTGGAAATGGCAAGAGTTGGTCTGACGGTGCTTCTCCCTCTTTAGCTCTGGGGTGACAGTTGCCCAAAAAAAAAAAAAAAAATTTAAAAAAAATCAAAAAAAGAAATCCTAATAGGTTATTGCTTTAGTGACGGGAGGAAGCGGCGGCGCTTTCCCTCCTCCCTCCCTCCTTCCCTCCCTCCTCCCTCCCAGCCTCTCTCCCTCGCATACGCTCTCTCCTTCTCCCTCTCTCTCTCTGAACTGAAATTCTTGATATAACTCTCAATAAGCCCAGAGGGAGGGTGGGAGCGGAGCGAGGCCACCCCTCCCGCCGCACCGCATTGGCCCGCGCCGGCGGGGGCGGTGGATGGCGGAGCGCGGCCGCGGCATTGGCCGCCGGGCACGTCGCTCCCCGGCCCGGCCGGGCGGAGGGGGCTACGCGCCGCGCGGAGGCACCGCCGGGGCCGGGGCACGCAGGGACGCGGGGACGCGGGGGAGCGGGAGCGGGAGCAGGGCGTTCCGCGGCAGGAGCGCGGCGCACACGGGCGGGCGCTCCGCGGTCAGGGACGCGGAGGGGGCGGAAAGCAGCGCCGGGTTTGCGCGCGGCTGAGGGGTAATTTGGGAACAGGGGCTCGGGGTGCGCTTGGGTTGGCGGCGCGGTGTGAGGATGTGCGGGGCGGGGGTGCCTCAGTGCGTGCTCGGTGTCGCTTGCGCGGAGCGGTGCGGTGCGGAGCGGTGCGGTGCGGAGCGGTGCGGGCCCGGCGCGGAGCGCAGCGCTGGCCCTGGGCCACCGCCCGGCGCCGCGCAGGTTCGGAGGCAATCGCCTGCCCCGGCCCACCTTCGCCCGGTTCGGCCTTATATTTAATACATGCTCTTTCATCTATAATTCAGGCTGCTCTGACTCCAGCCCTGTCTCGGCTCCCATTTACGCCTGCACACCTTTCTCCTTCCCTTTCCCGAAGGGTCAGAGAGACACTCGCCAAGGGAGGGAGAGCGCTACTCTGCTGGTTTGGGTTTTGTCTGCTTAAACATTGAACTGGAAAAGATTCCTCCTCTCTGTGGTTTGATAAATAATAAAAGTGATCGTTTCGCCTTCCCCATAAATGACACAGGTAAATTATCCAGCTAGCCACAAAGAAGCATCACATGCCTGGAAGACACTGTAATAAAATGCCAATGTATTATGATATGAGTGACCTCAAAAGTGTGACAAGAAGATGATTATAGTGCATTATCTATAGTGCATTATATGTAGTACCTTTTTCAACGTTTTCTGAAGCATGAATGAACCTTTATTTGACTGTGCTTTTATTGCCAGCGTTTCTCAGTTTGAACTTACAAGCTGTATGCTAGAACCTATCCAATTTAGTATGCCCAGGTACGTGGCCATGCAGGCTGCTGCTTCTGGTTAAGCCTTTCAAATACATATGCATAGGAAAAAAACCAAAGATAACATCAGCATTTGACTTTTTCTGTATGTGGTACTATCTCATTTGCACATTTTGTGTGGATGACATTGGTAAGCTAAAGATTCGAGTTTTACCTTGAAGATTTTACATTTGCAGATGCAGGCGCTTAGGCTCTCACATGTACCTGCACATAGGATGCACTATTAACAAATGGTGGGAGCTGCTTGTACTTCTCAGAGGTCAGTAATTTGCATGGTTTGGAATTGGGTGCTTCTTACTGATAAATGTACACATCCTTGCAAGTCATATGGATGCAGACACTGTATGTGAGCATTGCACATCCTGTAATCCCATGATGTGTAAAGATTAAACACTCTCAGTTTTGCTATGCTTTGTAGTTGTGTCCAAAATACTCTTGTTACTGTTACACACAGAAAAAAAATTGATCCCGGTTCTGATGGCATTGAGTAACGTTAGAAAACGGAACTGGATCTAATAATAGTTCAAGAAAAATGTTCATTTATGTAATACAAGAAGGATGGCTGGAGCCCCAGCATTGAAAGTCAAGCAAGTGACATGAAGGAGCAACCTTACTGCCAAACCACTTAGAAAAAGAATTCTGTGAATGAATTAAGCATGCAGTTCTTTTGTCTTTTAAAATACAAAGCAGAACAGCCATTAATAAAGGAGATAATTAGAACTGCTAGCATTCTGTGTAATGCAGTCTGCTTCTGAAATACGGCATGTTTATGTATGCATTAATAATACACACATTTTTCCTGACACTAGTCATATCACAGCAGTATGGCATCACAGACGTTTTATAGCCTCATTCTAGTAACATCACAGGCATATAACATTCTTATTCTAATCACACCATAGTCATTTCAATGTCACATTGTAGTCACATCACATAGCCTGGTAATAATTATTTAACTTTATTGCTAAGCTGAATAGTTTTCTGTTTGCTCAGGGATGACTTAAACTTGTAGTCAGAAGCGATTAGCACATGCTCATAAATGAGCTCTTCCCATGTACATAGGGTTAGACTTGCGAGAAGTTAGGAAGAGAAAAAAAAGAAATTCAGTGAACTAGTGTCTGTTGGACTTAAACCCAATGCAATCACAAGTCACAATATTAGCACATTTTTGCTGTTTTCAGAAGTAGTTCTAGAAAGCCAACAATGTTTACATGTAGATCTGTCATGTTAATGTTTATGTGCTTGCTTTAAAATGCTGTAGTACTTTAACTAATCATACATTATTAACCTCATGGAAGAGGCATGTCTTTAAACTGTTGTATTTGCACACCAGATTGAAAAATGGAGGCCCAGAGTACCAAAGGGGTGAGAACTGTCACAACTGCTTCTAATAATGGTAGAAAAAGAACAGAAGGGGCTGAATTCCTGAGCAGGAGTTGGAATCACCCAGCGCAGCATTAACGCCACCCCTGCAATGTGAGGAACTGCTCTGAGCCGTGTCCTGTGCTCACTTGAGTAGCCTCTTGTTTACCCTCTGGTAGATGTTTATTCCATAGCTCTTATATTTGAGAAAACTGCAGTATTTGATGTCACATTCCCCTCAAATGCAGCTGTGGTGACATTATTTGTGCTGTTTCTTAATAATTGCCTTTCCTTACTGTTGTGGATTAGCCTTTTGTCTATGTACAAGAACACTGGGTTGGCAATCACATCACACCTTATTAAAATGACTTCTGTATTATAACTTACTAACTATTCATCCACATCATTGCTTGTTATCTTCGCCTCCATATTATTATGTATCAAATTCTTTTCCATATCATATTTGACTCAAATTCTAGCATGCTAGAAACTGACTCCAATTATTCTGTACTAGCTATAGTCAAATTGCACTAAATGGAATTGCTTACATTGTATCACAGTGGCTACAGGCTCACACAATGCATTATACATGAAACTGATTCACATTATGCTTAGCTAACTAAAGACTTTAATCTTGAAGTGTTGAGCATAAAATGCTATCATTCTTCACTGAACTGGCTCTGGTCACTTGATCATTTTATACCTGGGATTGCCTCTTACAGGCTGTTATTATTAAAGCAAAATGGCTTTTCCTCTCCTGCAGTTCTACCACTTTCTGTAGAGAGCTGATTCATATGCTAATGAATGAGCTTCCTTATTTCATGACAGAGCACTGCAACACTGGAACCTGACCTATGGTGCACCTTTAGGATGTCCCCCTCAGTGCAGCATAGTGAAAAAATGCATTATAAAAATACACTTGTGTGTTCAGATAGCAGGTTATGTGCTAACTATTGAGCAATCTTTAATATTATCCCCAGAGGTCTAATTTCTGTATGTTGCTGGAGTCATTAGGAAACCCATCCTTGGTCCCATCTGCAACAGGAAGTATCCAAGGCCATATTGCCAGTTCTGCTGAGGTCTCTCAGGGTATTTCTGATGTGGCTGTCCCTGGAAGGAGAAGAGATTAGGAGTTCAGTGGGGCAGGTAAAGCAGTGAAGACTCTCCCTGTTACAAATAGTTTTTAATCCATGAAAGAGTCCACCTCTACAGGGCAGACATTCTCTCTGCTCTAAGTGGCACTGGCATTGCTATATCCTTGATTTTGGCTCCTGCTGAGTTCAGCCTCATAGTAACCTCAGGAAATCCACTTCTTACAAGAAGCACTGGGCCAAAAAGTGATGCCTGTAATCTGCTGCATTCCTAACCGCCAAAATGTTCAGGATTTCTGTAAAGATGAGAGAGGAATGCTACGGAGTCAAGGGCAGCATATGGAGAGGATTGTGGAGACCATGTTTTGTTTATATCCTTACAAGCATGTTTCTCCTTGCAAGCATGATGCTTTGGACCAGACTTTGTACACCTAATGGTTTGTAATTCAGGAGCTTGCTTCAGAGTGACCTAGTCTTCTTGGGCAGAAGGATTGGACCTGTAGGCTTTATTTACATTAATGAAGTCAATAAAAGTGTTTTGGGTAATGTAAATTATATGTAACTACAGCGTTTGAATAAGCCAGGTAATTGTGTTATAAATACTATTTATTTAATATACCATTTTTTGCAATTTCAAAGTGTATTTAATTGTTTTTCAGAATGGTTGTGAGAGCTCTTGGAAAGGAAAAACACTTAAGTGAGCAGCTCAGGACTATATAATAATCTGTACTCTTAAATAAACAGCAGTAGCTAAGTCAGTTAATGATTAATAATTTAAGCCATTGAGCTGCTGAGATGGGGAAGAGTTGCAGAATTGGGACCTTTTAATGTGTCTTTCTTCAGGAAAATAAACTCAGTCCCTGGATAATCAAATCACAAAAGGGGCAGGTGATGACCTTCATTCCATTTGAATGGCAGAACTAAATTTAAGTGAATTTGCCATTTTTTTTTTGACTGACAAAGATTGCAAATGTCAGTTCATGGCTCTGAAGGGTCCAGAAGTGCACAAGCTGAAAGCTGGCATTTTGCAGTGCCAGTGTTTAATCCCTGTCACTGTACAATACAACCAAGTGCCCAACTTCCCTTAATTATTGCTGTTTATTTAAAGGTACAGATTAATATGCAGGTTTGAATTGTTTGCTTGAAAGTATATGGGGCTTTTTCCTCTCTCACAAGGCTTAGTGTCTATTTACTATAATACTAAGAATCCATTTGGATATTACTAAAGGAGAGTAATAAATGCTGTTTAAAATGCAATAATTGGACCACTTAGATGTAATTTCATGTGGCACAAAAAGCAAAAAAAAGCTTAAATCTTTGCTACTCTCATGTCATTTTTTACGATGGAAGTACCTGATGAATCAGAATGCAGAAACAGACTCCAACCAATGTGCTTTTGTGTGAGGCAAAAATATTCCAGAACCTGCAAATAACCTGATGTCTTATTGATGCTTTATTGTTTAAAAAGAGTAAAAAGGAAAAGAAATTAAGGCTTTCAGACAAAAAAAAAACAAACAAAAAAAAAAAACCTCTGAAGAAAGTTTCACTGAAGCATTTTCATTTCCATCAGAACACTAATGTAGTTTTGGTAGACAGAGTTAGGCTGATGTGATGCTGGCAGGATCAGAATGAGACACAAACCATGGAATGAGACCTCCTTCAGGCATTGTCATGGTTTACCAAAACAGACATTTACTTTGTTTTTCTGCTTTCAACTTATGACCTGCTCCTTGCTTGCACAGAATATAGAAAATGCTCAATTTAAATCACACTTGCATTAGCGAGATTGAAATCTTTACACCTGGATTTAAACCTAAATATCTTCTTTTTTGAGTCCTACTCTTCTGTCATTCATGCCTCACCATTTACAAAAGGTTACTAAGGTAGTAAAGCTTGATTAAACCCTATGTCCTCTGGGGAAAAAAATGTAGTTGTTTGACGTAGACATAGCTTTATTCTTTAAATTACAAAGGCAGGCAGACAGATGACTAATTTCTCTTTAAAAGCATCATGCTGTCATAATCACTTCTTATTTCTAACACTTTCGCATTTCTTAATGCCCCTATTAACCAAAGCGTCTATGGTTTTGAGGTTTTACCTTTTGGGAATTGCATGTTTAGTGTCCTAGAGTAGAAATACTGCAAGAGCTACACCCTTTCATTGAGCAGATGATGCCCATCTATTTGCCATGCATATGCACTGAAGGGAAAAGCACGGATTCCTGGCTGCATCCCTTTTCTGTGCCCCACTGGCATGGCTGTGGTTTTCAAAGACCCTTTGTTCTTCTGGACTCAAAATCTATAAAAGACAAGGTGTGTGCCCTCCTCCTATGGGCAGCAGTACCCCAACTCTGTACATGCCACCATATTCTGGGGAAGTACTTTGATGTAATTTTGGCTTTCTGGAGGCCAGTTCCTCTCTGAGCTCCTCTTTATATGGAAGCCAGAATTCTGCACAGTGCTCATGCAGAGCTGAGCCTGAAAGAAAGGATTAATCCAAACAAAATTACTCTCACAAAAGCAATGGGGGAGAATTACAGGTCTGTGTTTGGCATGTATTCACAGAATAGGAAATGTCACCAAATACCTTTGCTGTCATTTACATTCCGGTCAAAATCCTAAAAAATATTAGATTCTAGGCAAGAGAAAAAATCTAAAGGACCACAATATGACTTCTCCATAGATTTTCACTGTTCCATTTAGTGACATTATTGTCCAGGTTTCTTAACGGGCAAAAGTCACTCAAAGTCTTAAAGCAAAAAATGTGTTATCATGTAAGTAATAATGTAAACAAAGTAAGAATATACAGGTTACGGGGCAGTATTTTCCCTTTATGGAAACTAACTGGGCATTCTTAGAAAATAATTTATAGGAAAAATAAATTGGAGTTTCATGTGTTTTCCTTCTTTATTACTAATAAATCTCTGCTTCTGCCTCCCATGTTGACAAGCAGCAGATATTTCAACACAAACTCCATCAAAGTTAGTCATTTTGTCCTCTCTCTTATCAGTGTTTCTGTCGCTCTGAGGACGACATGCATCAGGAAATAAGTAAGCACCTATCTACAGGGGCATCACTCAGTCATGCTTAGACAATTATCACTGCAAAACACACTTCAGACTGATCAATAATTGCTTTCCTTGTCAAATTTCAGGATGTCACAAGCAGCACCAAAGGAAGGGATCAGACCTGTGCAAAGCCTTGTCTAGACAGGTAGATTAGATTGCTTTTAGTCCTAGCAGAGGCAGGAGGATGCCTCAGTGGTCTACAGCAAAGCCTAACAAAGCACCCATCGTCCTTTTTCTTGCAATGGACTTGGACAGACTCAGGTTGTGTGAGCAAGGAAAACGCCCCCTCCAAGGGAAGACACCTTATAATCTGAAAAATTCAATATTAGGAATAGCTTGGAAGTGCCACAGATTTTTTTCCCTGACAAAGTTTGTTTTGACATAGGCCAGAAAGTTGTTATTTTCAGATGGATTTACAGGGATCAGTTCTTAGATTCCCTTTCATATCTCCTTCTTTCCCCTTTATCTTTTTAAAGCTTAGATAGACTGAAGGCCTTCTGTCTGATTCATGTATATCTGTGCTTGCAAGCCTCAGGTCTGTGATGAGGAGAGGATACTTGTTTCCAAGATAGAATATTTTGAAAAACAGTAAGTTGAGTTTATTCACAGTCCTCTTTAGACATTCTTCTTCTCTATAGAATATATCTGTATAACTATTTGTCACTGAAGACAGTAAATCTGGGCAATAGAAAAAGAAACCTACAGATTTTCTTGGACTGTAAACTCAGGTAAAATGCACCTGATGCCAGAATAAAAACACATTAAGGTGTAATACAAAAATGATACATTTATCTGATTACTGTAATTGTGAGGTCTTTTACTTTAAGACATAACAAACTGTGTTAGTCATTGTAAAACCAGATCCACCTTACATATGCTGTTACCATACCAGTGAGGATTAATAATTAAAAAGCCTTTTTCTCCCCCACTGCTTCAGTGCTGTCAATTCCACAAAACTCCTGTGCAATTCAGTAAACTTGATACACTGAACACTAGTCACTTCAAGATGTGCTTCAGCTGCTGCTTGGTTTGCATTCCTGTTCAGCTGATTCTTGACTGAGAAATGTAGGGAGTCTTACTGAAATATTAGTATTTGTTCTAATAGCATGAGTGCCAGAGGACTTCAGGATACACAGTGAGACAGCCATCTGTATTCAGCACAATATTATGCTTTTCATTACTGACAGAAATAATAAAAAAATGCAAATTGAAAAACTATGAGATTCTTATTAACATGATTGAATTTAAGTGAACAAAGAGACTGCTAGCCCAAAAGATGCACTCATTGAAAAGATGGTATAGCAAGAATCTTTCTCTGTACAGACAGAGATGTGTATCTCTGTACATATCCTACTACAAGACAACCACTGAAATTGTGAGCTTTCAGGTTTTATCCCCATTAAGTATTTGATCTTGGATCTAAGTCTGTGAACATGAGTGAAAATCTCCATTCCATTGACAAAAGTACTTTTGTCACTCTGCTTTGATCTGTGGTAACTCAGTGCCCTACACTCTCCCAATGGAATAACAGTGCAGGTATTCCTCAGCCAGACCCATCTGGTGCTTTAAAACATTTAATGTAAAATACTGTAAGGTGAAGGTTTTTGCCAAAGCTTGGATTCTTTGGCAGTGACACATTTATGGCTAACGAGTAATCTTTCTGTCTTGTTATTTTTTTATTTATTAGTAGATATAAGCTTTGAATCAGCCTTTAAAAGTTGAACATAACTGGTTCTCTTGCAGAAGTTCGTATGTTTCAGTTTTCCCAAAAGTGGAAATGAAAAAATTGGTCATGAAGCAGAATTATGTTGTGCCTGAACATGGACTTTAATGCATAAGAAACCCATTTTGTTTTGGATGAGGACCTACACATTTTAATAGTATTAAGAGGAGGTCATATCAAAAATACAGCTCCTCCCCACTAAATACAGACAGGAGGCTCATTTTTATAATTCTTTCTTTAATTCCATTATTTCAGTTAGCATTATAAATTATTATGTCAGTGCTCCCACTTAGCCAAAGGGAGCTCCAATTTAAAGTGTGCAGTCACAAATTCTGTTCTTATTAACACTGATACTACTTGTTCTGATGTGCAGTAGATCTTGCATAATATTGGAGAACATCTAAGAAGCTATAAGGTTAAAAAATGCCAAAGTCTCAAAAACAGGTCTAAAAATATCTTAGTTGTCTCAAGTAAGTTATGAACAGTACCTAGGCATCTACCTCACAATGCAATTCTAAAAGTCTTATTTTTAATGTCATCTAACTGAAAGAAGATTGTCCACTATTTAAATTGAAGCTTGCTGAGAATTATTGCCTAAGTAGCTCTGAGAATCTACATTTGTGATTTTGTGGCTGTTCAAAAATCTCTTATTCTCACCCTATATAAGCAATGCATATCTCAAGCCATTTCAGGATCTACAAATAAGATCCTGTTTCTTTTCTCAGTGGATAAAACAGTGCATGCTTACAGAATCAAGCTTTGCGTAAAGCATAGTGCATTTTGTTTTGCTCTATTTTTAAGCACAACCATGAAATTTATGTTTAAATGGTTTTAGTATTCCTCTAGCCTAGAACACGCTTACTTGGTTTTTGTCCTTATAGATTCAAAATCACAACCCGTAACTTCTGGAAGAACTTCTTAGCTGTATCTTGGCAGGTTGTATATGTCTCTGTGTGTGTGTGTGTGTCCCAGGCATAGTGGACAAGAGTAGAGTGTGAGTCTTGCCTTGCATTCTTTATTCCATGAGCAGTGTACATCCCTTGCATGAAACTGTCATTCTAGAAAATCCTTTATAGTGTCAGTAAGCCTGGCCTTCCCCAAGCAGTCAAGGAGTTGCAGGTGGTGTACAAAAGGGTGGTGCATGCTTGAGTCACCCAGGATAAGGAAAAAAAGCCTATTAGCTCTCCTGCTTCCTCAGAGCACTATAATGAATTTCTAGCCTGTGATACAAGTGCTCTTGGTGGCTTGTTTTCCACTTCTAAGAGGTCTATAGCAGGTAATTCAAAAGCCTTCCTAATGAGAGTTGGTAACAGCTGCTTTCAGTGTGCCTAAACAGCGCTCTCTTGTTCTTTGAGAGAATCTGCCAGGAGGTCCAAACTGAGAAGTTACATGTGTGAGTACATACTCTCTATGTGCCTGTGGATAGATCACCATGCTAGTCAGAGTTTCTGCTTTTCTGACAGGTATAAAGGAAAGAGTGGTCTCTCTTTCATTTCTGAAAGATGGCACTCTGTGATTCTGCACTCTTCCTGTGTTGTAGAGGGAACCAAGATGCTCCTGTAAGGAATGTGCAACTTGAACATGAACATTTCAACTACTAAATGGCTTCCTGAAGCTTTGCCTAACCTCTTTTACTAGTTTCAATGCTATAAAAATTACTCATATACTTTCCAAAATTTTATATGCTGTGAACTGTGTTATATGGAGGCTTAAGGGGAGTTTCTGTTTGGTTTTTTT